TCATTTTGCTGTCTTTTTAAATAATTTGCAAAAAAGTTCCCGTTCTTCTTTAAAGTCACAGCTGTCCTTATCTCCATAGCTGTCAACTTTCAGATTTGAAAATAAGGGATCAGCAGCCTCGAAAATAAGGGATCAGCCGCCTCACTTGTCCCGGGGACAGTCTACGGGATATCTAACAATCCGGGATAGCAGCGGGAAGCGGCGCTGGAATAAGGGAATTTCCCATTAAAAAAAGGAAGGTTGACAGCTATGCCTTATCTCACAATTTGTATGTCAGTTTTGCCAGTTCTGCATAGAGCCTGAAAACAGGATCTGAGTGTTAAGTTGTGGGTGAACATATCAGACGACACAGCGATTCTTCAGACAGCTCTTGTTTATTCACAGGCCAGGACAGAACTGAACTGAAGGGTTCAGTCAGCCTGCCTATATAGAGCTCCAGTACAACGTAACTGTAACAATTTTCTAAAACTATCCAATCACTGAACGTCACTTTCGATCCCTTATTTGCGGTGGCGCTATGGGTTAAACCACAGAGCCTAGGGCTTGCCGATCAGAAGGTCGGCGGTTCGAATCCCCGCGACGGGGTGAGCTCCCGTTGCTCGATCCCTGCTCCTGCCAACCTAGCAGTTCGAAAGCACGTCAAAGTGCAAGTAGATAAATAGGTACCGCTCTGGCGGGAAGGTAAACGGCGTTTCCGTGCGCTGCTCTGGTTGGCCAGAAGCGGCTTCGTCATGCTGGCCACATGACCCGGAAGCTGTACGCCGGCTCCCTCGGCCAATAAAGCAAGATGAGCGCCGCAACCCAGAGTCGGCCACGACTGGACCTAACGGTCAGGGGTCCCTTTACCTTTTATCTGCAGTATCCCCCTGCTGGCCCAGGGTGAGAACTTCAGTACATAACACTGAGCACAAGAGCAATTCTCCCCACCTGTGGTTTCCAGCGATTGAGAATCAGAAGCGTCACTGCCTCTGGCATCTTTTTATTTAGTCTGGGAGGAATGTAGGCAAGTGCCATGCCTTGCCCCACCCAGTATTGCCTTAGGCCCGCCCACCGCCCACCAGCTGTCCCCAGAAGTTCGCCCTCTAGGGAACACAGCCCTTGGGCTTAAACCCCCGTCCCTCACCTTGCATACATTGGATTCAAGCGGCCTTCCTTACCCTTGAACCCTCCAGACACTGGGGAAGTGTAGCTGATGGGAACTGTGGCGCAGAACCTGTGGAGGGCACCAGGTTGAGGAAGGCTGGATGAAAGGAAAGCCAAAAGCCGACAGGGTCACACACAGTGTACGTTTATTCTCACAGAAACGTAGCGTCACATTGAACAGAATATGTAAAATTCAACAGCGACGGTGTCCTCTGTTTTGAAAAATAATTGACCCATCAAAGCCCCAAGGTCCACATAACAGAGAAGAAGGAGGTTAAGCTCCGGTCGAGTTTTGCAATGTCTCGGGAGCCCAGGTAAAGTGTAACAAAATGGCTCCCAACCAACCAATGGGTGGTATAACAATAATAATAATAATTTATTATTTATACCCCGCCCATCTGGCTGGGTTTATAAGGCGGCAGATTATATACAGTCATACCTCTGGTTACAGCCGCTTCCGGTTGCGTCTTTTCGGGTTGCGGACCGCCGAAACCCGGAAGTACTGGAACGGGTTACTTCCAGGTTTCGGCAGTCGCGCATGCGCAGAAGCGCTAAATATTGCTTTGCGCATGCGCAGAAGCGCAAAATTGCAACCTGCGCATGTGCGGGTTGAGAACGCTGTGGGTTGCTAACGTGCATCCCACACAGATCACGTTGGCAACCCGAGCGTCCACTGTGCTGCCATCAATGTGCACAGCATTTCATCGTGAAACATACGACAACAGCGACCAACCATCCCCACTTTTTGTGTTATTAGATAGGAAGCTCCACAGAGTGGAAACAGGAGGGGAGGAAGGTGTTAGGGAAATGAGGGATGAAGTTGAAGAACTAAATTATTATTATTATTATTATTATTATTATTATTATTATTATTATTCCCATTGGCTATTTGCTGCCCAACTCGGTGAGGTCAGTGAGATGAACATTCTCGCGGCTGGTCGGATAATCTGTGGCTGCCGTCTTTGCTTCCCCCAAAATCCCCACAGGTGCCTCGCACGTTGACAGTTTTGAAAATTCACACTGCATGAAATACGACACACAGAAGAAGACTCCATATGCCAGCAGATCTTCTTGGGAAACAACAACAAAAGGCACCCAGAGTGTCAAAAGATACAGGCACTGGGCTTGAAGAACAAGTCCCATGGGTGAAATCAAAAACATTCAATATACATTCAATCACAGCGAAATAAGCCCTGGCAGGTGGTCATCTGACCTCTGTTTAAAAACATCCCAAGGCAGGAGAGTCCAGAATCTGCAGAGGGAGACCATTTCACTGTGAATAGCTCTTACCATCAGAAAGTTCTTCCTAAGGTTTAGTTCAGGGGTCGGCAACCTAAGGCCCGGGGGCCGGATCTGGCCCAATCGCCTTCTCAATCCGGCCTGCGGACAGTCCTGGAATCAGCATGTTTTTACACGAGTAGAATGTGTGCTTTTATTTAAAATGCATCTCTGGGTTATTTGTGGGGCCTGCCTGGTGTTTTTACATGAGTAGAATGTGTGATTTTATTTAAAATGCATCTCTGGGTTATTTGTGGGGCATAGGAATTCGTTCATTACTTTTTTCCCAAAATATAATCCGCCCCCCCCCACAAGGTCTGAGGGACGGTGGACCGGGCCCCCGGCTGAAAAAGTTTGCTGACCCCTGGTTTAGTTGAAATTTCCTTCCTTGTAACTTGAATCCACTGGGTTCCGGAGCGGCAGGAAAAAAGCTTGTTCCCCTTTTCCATGTGACAATCCCATGCAATTCTCTTCTCCTGAAATTCCTGGCACACCCTCTTCCCTAATATTCCCCCCCTTCTGCATTTTTTGGGGGGCGGGCGGGAAGGGCACCCTACGACTGAGACTGCCTCAGAACAAGGGAGACAGCCTTAAAAGCACCCTCAGGGTACTCAGTCCTTTTCCAATGCCCCTCCATCAAATTTAATTTATTTATTAAATTTGTATATCGCCCTAAACCTGTAGATCCCAGGGCAGTTCATGCCACAAAATTACAATATAAAAAAAGACAAAATACACGATGAAAATAAGAACAGAAGCAAACCAATAGCACATTTAAAAGGGACGATAGTACGGATGGAGGGGGGCACAAATGGGCCCCACATTTAAGCCATTTTCATAAACCACAATTAAAAAAATGTCTAAGCAGTGTAAATAAAACAGAAAAATAATTTATTAGTAACATACAAATGAAAAAACAGAATTTAGAAACAAGTATACACAGCTAAACGATGTACCCAGGTTTGCTGAAATAATTGTTTTAAAAGGTTTCAGCTCAATCTTTGGAGAATATATATATATATTCTCAATATATATATATTTTCTCTCTCTCTCTCTCTCTCTCTATATATATATATATATACACATGGCAATGGTAATGTTTTATTTTGTAGTTTTGTAAACTGCTTAGAGCTTGTTGTTTTTCAAACAGTCCGGCGGTGTTGAATGTTGTTAAATAAAATAAATAAATCCCTAAGGCCCCTCCCAGGTTGAGGAACCATTTCCCAACCCTCCCATTTTCTACCTACGAAGGCCCCTCTGCCATTTTGAAAACCGCCCTTGCCAATTTCGACATTGTGCCGGGAGCCTCAGCCAAGTGGGCGCGGCTCCCGCCTTCAGACGTTGCCCCTTCCTTGACACCGCCATGGGGCGATGGGAGATGCTAAACCTGTGCCCCCTCCCCTCAGGCCAACCTTGGCGCTGAAGAGGACACTACAGGCAACATGGCAACGGCGAGGTAGGTTTTACCGGAGTTTACGGCACGAGGTCACTTCCTGTGGGGAGCCATCTTGGATCCCAGGGAGACAGGCAAGGGTTTGGTCCTAGCGAAGGCCGTTCCGCTGTTTCCCTGCTTCCGATGAGGCCTCTCTTGGTCATCTTAGACCTTTCTGACCCATTGGTCTGTTACATTCATCTTGCCTCCATTTAAGGTTCAGGTTTTTCTCCACTCCAAGATGCCCTCTTCCTTTTCCCCTGTGGCTCAGCTGCAATTTGGGGAGCGTCCTCATTTCCAGGTACAGTGGTACCTCTGGATGAGTAAAATGTAAGACGCGTCTGCGCATCTGAGCATGTGGCGTTTTGCCACTTCCGTGCATGCGTGTGACGTCATTTTTGAGCGTCTGCGCATGCGCGAGCGGCGAAACCCGGAACTAACGCACTCCGTTATTTCTGGGTCGGCTCAGAGCGCAACTTGAAAATGCTCAACCTGAAGCACATCTGACCCGAGGTATGACTATACAGTGGTACCTCTGGTTGTGAACGGGATCCGGGGAGGCCCGTTAGCAACCTGAAAAGAACGCAACCCACGTCTGCAGGTGCGCAGGTCACGATTGTCCGCTTCTGCGCATGCGCATGACGTCAGCATCTGCGTGAGCGGCGAAACCCGGAAGTAACCTGTTCCGGTGCTTCTGGGTCACCGCAGGATGCAACCTGAAAACGCTCAATCTGAAGCAAACGTAACATGAGGTATGACTGTAGTTCTAACCACCCCCCCCATTGCTGGATCAGGTTGGGGCCAGGAAAACCCCACAGCGTTTCCATTTTACTGCTCCTATGGGACCTTAGGGGACGTGGGTGGCGCTGTGTGTTAAACCACAGAGCCTAGGACTTGCCGATCAGGTCAGCGGTTCGAATCCCCGCGACGGGGTGAGCTCCCGTTGCTCGGTCCCTGCTCCTGCCAACCTAGCAGTTCGAAAGCACACCAGCGCAAGTAGATAAATAGGTACCACTCCGGCGGGAAGGTAAACGGCGTTTCCGTGCGCTGCTCTGGTTCGCCAGAAGCGGCTTAGTCCTGCTGGCCACATGACCCGGAAGCTGTACGCTGGCTCCCTCGGCCAATAAAGCGAGATGAGCGCCACAACCCCAGAGTCGGCCACAACTGGACCTAACGGTCAGGGGTCCCTTTACCTTTATGGGACCTTATCAAGACGGCGGGTGCTTCTCATTTTTCCTGGTCGGGGCAAAAAGGGTTCTGCTTTTCGCAAGCACCGGGGGGCTCGATCAGAGTGAGGGCACCCCACCTCCCAAAGATGCGTTGGTCCTGCCTGTCTCCTGTTCCGTTTAAGACAGTTAAACCAGGGGAGTTGGTGGGGGCAGGAACACATTCCTGATATATTACAAAGTTGGCGCATCGTTGGCAAGGACAGGTTGAGGGTTCGAGAAGGCACCTTTCCTCCCCAGTTGGAGGGAGCAGGGGGCAAGTAGGCCCTTGGTCAACGCCCCAACCTGCCTGCCCCATCTTTGCCCCCCAATATAGTAGCCAAGAACCATGGCCAGCTGCGGCCCCGAGTTCAAATCCAGCGGCTCCCATCTTAAGCCGTGAGAAGGGCTTTATCCACAGATGGAAAATGCAGGTGGAGATTCGTCGGCCGACAGCGCCGACTCTTTACCTTCCTGTCCTCTGCTGGAACTCTTTAAAAGAAATAAAAAACCTTCGCATCTTGGAGTGGAAGTGCATGTTTTCAAGCTTCCTGCAGTTTCAAAGCTGGGAGGTGCTCATTTGTCTTCTAGGGTTAACAAGGTTCCTTCAAGATATTCCTTGCAGGAAGGAGCTGCCTTCAAAAGAGCCGCCCGGAATGCCTCAGGCAATCCAGTCGGGTGGAATGAGGTCACTTCCTGTGGGCGCCATCTTGGATCCCAGGGAGACGGGCACGGGTTTGGTGAGAGGGAAGGCCACGAATAATACATTTCTTGTTTCTTATTCCCCTGCAAGGAAGTCCTTTCAGTACCAGAGGTCGGCTCGGTGTTGCTGGTTGTAAAGCAACAGTTTAATCTGGTCTCTGATCTGGTTGACAAGGACCTGGGAGAGCAGGATCCCGACCAGCTGCAAGAGGGAAACAAAACACAGACGGAACAGGACAGTGAGCGCGGCAAAACGGGAGACGGCTTTAAACGGACAAAACTCCTCTATATCAAATTAACTAGTTGGATGGACGCGGAGGCTATCTTGGCGGAGGAGGAAGCTGGATTTAGGCATCTACCATCGATCACTGTTTCGTCTTAGCACATCTTTTTGATAAATACGCCAAGAAAACCCGTGGGGTCTTATATGCAGCCTTCATTGATCTGAAGGCCGCCTTTGATTCAATTTTAGAAGTAAGACTCTGGGCCAAATTGAATACATCCAGTATAGATAAAAGATTACCGTATTTTTTGCTCTATAGGACGCACCAGACGATAGGACGCACCTAGTTTGGGGGTGAGGGGGGGAATTCTGAATCCCAGACAGCAAGAGGGATCTGGCTTCTGGGATAGCCTCTTGCTGTTCTGGCTTCTGGGATAGCTGGGATAGCTGGTCTAGCTTTGTGCGAAGCCTCCGCAGGGCACGGGGAGCCTTCATCCTGCTGCCCTGCGTAGGCTTTACGCAGCTAACCCCGAAGCTAGAACAGGGAGACGGAGCGCTGCGCAGCGCTCCCTCTCCCTGTTCTGGCTTAGCCGCGCAGCCTGCATTCGCTCCATAAGATGCACACACATTTCCCCTTACTTTTTAGGAGGGAAAAAGTGCATCTTATAGAGCCAAAAATACGGCACTATTTTTGATTCATGGCCTATACAGTGGTGCCCCGCAAGACGAATGCCTCGCAAGACGAAAAGCTCGCTAGACAAAAGGGTTTTCCGTTTTTTGAGTCGTTCCGCAAGACGAATTTCCCTATGGGCTTGCTTCGCAAGACGAAACGTCTTGCGAGTTCTTGCGAGTTTGTTTCCTTTTTCTTAAAGCCGCTAAGCCGTTAATAGCCGCTAAGCCGTTAATAGCCGTGCTTCGCAAGAGAAAAAAACCGCAAGACGAAGAGACTCGCGGAACGGATTAATTTTGTCTTGCAAGGCACCACTGTATAAAGATACTGTGCTGTACATAAGATCTTCCACAAATGGCCAACTCATAGGCCCTGTACCAGCCACCAAGGGGTTCAAGCAAGGCTGCATTCTAGCCCCAGCTTTATTTAAGCTATATATCAATGACATGGTTAAAAGCTTAACATCTCTGGAGTTTCATGCTCCCAAATTAGCCACAAAACCAATCTCAGTGCTCTTATATGCTGATGATGCGGTCCTCCTATCCCGAACAAAAATAGGCTTCGAACGGAGCTTCTGGGCGGTGGCGGAGACTTGCCAGGCTGTAAACAAACCCATTGGGCAAACTTTGCACCCCCTCTGTAGTCTCTCCACAAAGGGCATCCAACCTGTGCCCCCAGATGCAAAGGAAGGGCATTCAGGTATGTTATGGAAATTACGGGGGCGGGCGCATCTTTAAAATTAAATGTTATAAATATTATGCCTGAATGTATCCTTTCAACTTGACGGCTCAGGGAAGTTACCTAGCTTTAAAAATAATATAAAATCATCTCCTTTGCCAGTTTCCTCCATTCCAAAGCTATTTTCCCCTTGAAAAAGGACTCCGGGAAGTTCCCAGAGGTGACAATTGCTGGGCTAATTGTTGGCCAAGGAAAGCCTAACCCCATCACCAAACTTGCCAAGGAGTCCAGACATGCAAAGGAAGTTCTCTTGTACTTTGGGTGGTGGGACTTCAGAGGTGTTTGCCTAGGCTAATCTTATACCCGAGTCTTACCCTGCCATGTCTGCTTATGCTAATCTTGTACCAAGGACTTGTCTGGACATGTTTGGCAAGGCTGCACTAGTGTAACCCGTCTACCCCTCCCCATTTTGTGACATGTCAGTGATGTAGCAATGATGCTGTACAAACTGTATTCTGGGATATGGTGGGAAAGTTTTAAAAGTCCTTGTCACCCCATCCTCGGGGTTCAAAATTCCTCTTTGAACCTGTTGCGCAATAAACTTTGGTCTACACCTATTTGCTCCGGTTGGTGACTGGACTCCTTCCTTTATTCCGCAGGGACCCGCGGGCTCTGCCCGGACGAGCTGGGTGACCGAGCAGCCTCGCACCTAGATTTTCCGCAACAGGTAGCATTGTGGTACTAGAGCAGGGGTTGGCAGGGGTCGTTTAACCGGCCCATGGACCCCTGCCGCCCGCTTGGTTGGCTCCTGTGCGCTGTGCTAAACCGGTGCAGAGCGGAGCGGGGACCACCTTCCGCGATGCTGGGCGGCTTCCCATTGGCTACAGGAAGCTCCCACTGGCTGCAGGAAGCTCACTCCTTATTGGGTGAGCAACGCAGCCAAGCAACACAGCTGGAGCCTCCCTCCTCTGTTGGCAGGGAGGGAGGGAGAGGAGCTGCTTCCTTTGAAACCCGGGAAATTCAAGGGACATCATCAATAAGGGACAGCAGCAGGCGGGACGCGGCGCTGGGATAAGGGACTTTCCCGCCAAATAAGGGACGGTTGACAGCTATGCTCCCATCATCCCTAGCTAGCAGGGCCAGTGGTCAGGGATGATGGGAATTGTAGTCCGAAGTCAGCTGGAGATGTGAGTTTGGGAAACATGTCTCTAAACTAAAAAGCAACCTTCCCCCATCCCCTTGACTACGTGGGTTGCCCCTTTCTGAACCTTTTCCAAATTTACAATATCCAACTTGAGACGAGGCAACCAGAACTGTACACAGTGTTCCAAGGGTGGTCTTGAATTTCAAGTTTGCCTTTCAACCACCCAAGAGGAACATGCTAGGTTCTTCCTGAAAGCCAGCAAAGAGGGAGGCAGATGCACCTCGCAAATGGAGGCCATTCCGCAAATGGGGAGCCACCACCGAAAAGGCCCTGCCATGGGGCAATGCCAGCTGGTGCCCCACTATGGTGGAAGCAGCTCCCAAGCGTTGCCTGCAGACTGTAGGGTCCAGGGGCCCCCTGGGCCACCCTGAAACAACACCCATGACGAGGGGGCAAGCCGATTACCTGGGGAATGGCCAATCCCAGCGCTACTCCGCCCAGGAGGAAGAGGTTGCTGTGGATCCAGTTGACCAGCTTGTCAATGCAGCCGTTGGTATAGATGAACTCGCTGGCCTCCAGGTAGTTGAAAGCCTGCATCCCTTGCCCACACATGGTGTTGATGACCGACTGCATGGGAAGAAGCGTGTGGGAGAAAATCATAACTTCAAAAATTGTATCGAAATTTAATTAAATAAATTAAATTTAATAAAAACTAATTTAATTTAATTTAATTTAATTAAAACAAAATTAAAAGGCGCCTGCTTCTTGGGAGACAAGCAATGACAAACCTAGACAGCATCCTAAAAAGCAGAGACATCACCTTGCCGACAAAGGTCCGTATAGTGAAAGCTATGGTTTTCCCAGTAGTGATGTATGGAAGTGAGAGCTGGAACATAATAATAATAATAATAATAATTTATTTATACCCCACCCATCTGGCTGGGTTTCCCCAGCCACTCTGGGCGGCTTCCAACAGAATACTGAAATACAATAGTCTATTAAACATTAAAAGCTTCCCTAAACAGGGCTGCCTTCAGATGTCTTCTAAAAGTCTGGTAGTTGTTGTTCTCTTTGACATCTGGTGGGAGGGCGTTCCACAGGGTGGACACCACCACCAAGAAGGCCCTCTGCCTGGTTCCCTGCAACCCCACTTCTCGCAGGGAGGGAACCGCCAGATAAATTATTATTATTAATAGTAGTAGTAGTATATTCTGAAGATTCTCTTTCTACCATTTTTCCAAATGGATCGGATGTGTGGCTCTATGATATACCTGGTCGTCAGTTTGCAGGCAACAGGAATAAGGCACAGAACAGCGTTCCCAGCTGGGGTTGTGGGCCGTGCAGTTGAAATACAGGTTTTGGGACCAGTCTTTATAGGAGACGCCACCACAGCAGCTGAACTGGAAAGGGAAGGAAGAGAAGGAGTCAAGGCAGAGGAGCTGGACGGAAGCAGGCATCAGAGAGGGTCCCCAATGCTTCCCCTTCCTTTTTCAAACATAAAATATTTTGAAATCTTTCATATAGATATATAGCGAAACATCCCACCCGAACGCAGAAGCTGGTGTTTAGGCAATACATACAAAGCAACAGCCAGATAACAGTTCTTATCTTTTTGTACAGAGGGCAACAGAACAGTTTTAAGTTAACCAAAAAGTTCTATACAGTGGTACCTTGGTTCTCAAACTTAATCCGTTCCGGAAGTCCGTTCCAAAACCAAAGCGTTCCAAAACCAAGGCATGCTTTCCCATAGAAAGTAATGCAAAATGGATTAATCCGTTCCAGACTGATAGTAGTCACTGGATGGGGGGCTTTTATCCATTTCCGCAACCACACAATCAATCAATCAGTAGCTGAACTGGGTTCCACACAGTCACAAAAACAAATTAACCGAAAAAGTGGGGCCCTAAGCTATAGCCATAGCTGTCAACTTACCGATTTGAAAATAAGGGGCCAGCAGCCTCGAAAATAAGGGATCAGCAGCCAAAATAAGGGATTTTAGTCAACCAGCAGCCAAACGATGCCTCCTCTGTGGTTGGCAGGGAGGGAGGGAGAGGAGCTGCTTCCTTTGAAACCCAGGAAATTTAAGGGACATCATCAATAAGGGACAGCAGCGGGACACAGCGCTGGGATAAGGGACTTTCCCGCCAAATAAGGGACGGTTGACAGCTATGGCTGTAGCTTGTTGAGCTTATACATAAATCCAGCACTGTGTGCAACCACAACTTGCAACCATCTGGAAGCAGCGCAAGGGCTTGCAGTTTATAAACCAAAACTCACCTCTTTCTGGCCAAAGTCAATGAGGTTCTGGAGGTCCAAGTCGTCCCGGTAATGCACGATGGCGTTGTTGACAATCTCGCTCACCTTCCCGCGCGCCTGTAAGGAAATCGGAACAAGGCTATGGAGGGAGTTTGGAGCTAAGAGGGTTAACTGTCCTGCAGGCCAGGGATGTTGAATTTATTTATTTGTTATCCATTTATTAATTAAATTTGTATACTGCCCCTATACCCACAGATCTCAGGGCCATTCACAGGATCAAATCAAAATCAGATAATACTAAAGACGTAAAACAAAAACGAGAAATACCTTGGAAAACAAGAAGCAACAACTCCTAGCAGTGCTCAATTTAAAACACAACTTTATAATATGTGTCAGGGGTTCAGGAGCAGAGGCAAGGGCAAAGGGAGGAAACAGAGAGTGAGGGGGAGGAGGCAGAAGAAAAGATGAGTGATGACGACGACCCGAGATCTCCGAGTCTTTCCAGTGAATCAGAAGATTCACAGAAAGGAGCACCAGTGGCCAGGGCAAGGGGGGAGCCTAGGGGGACACCCCAGGAAGAAAGGGCCAGAGGGGGCTCAGAGGGGAGCAGTGGGAAACCGGGACCAGCGTCACCCACAGAGAGCAGGGGAGAGGAAGGGCGCCAGGTATCAAGCGCTGGAAGCTCACAACAGGGGGGAGGGCACGAGTCAGGAGTGGCCACACCTCCATCGGGGAGCGAAGAAACGGTCAGACGGAAAGTGGAAGGTTGGGCGCGCGCGCCAAGTTCAAATGCACAGGAAGGTGGCGCAGTGAGCAGCCCGGAAAGGGAGCCAGGTCCTAAAGCCCGACGCAAGGAGACAGGAGGGTCCGGGGGGTCAGCGTCAGAAGAATCCCGGAAGGAAGAGACCCCGGGGGGCAGAGGGACCCAGAGAAGAACGGTCAGGCGGAAAAGGTGGGACAGGGCTAGGATATTAAGTTGGTGTACAGGGGGCGGAGACTCAGACGGAGCTTCGCCGGTCTAGCCATAAGACGTAGAGTTGCACGCAGCAGCTTGAGAATGGAAACTGTAACTCAATAAAGACTTTTATTTAATGATCGCTGGCTAGCGTGATCCTCTGTGAGCTAGGATCTGGAAGCAGCTCTGACAATATGATATAATGTGATCGTTATATAACAGCAAGAATGTATAAAGCAATGCAGTTACAGAAGTACTCGAGCGAACAGCTGACTCCTGTATTCACCGCTATCTCCTCCGCCCTAGACATCCCCGACTCCTGGAGAGAAGCTATAATAGTTCCGATCTTCAAAGGCGGCCAGCCAAACATCCCTAGGAACTATCGCCCCATCAGTTTATTATCTATTCCGGGGAAAATATTTGCCGCTGTTTACTGGAAGAACTTCTTTCATGGGTCCAGGAGAGGAACATTCTACCGCTAGAACAGATTGGCTTCTGAAAGTCAGCATCAACCATGGACCACTGTCTAACTCTCTATCATCTTGCCAGTAAATACACTGCACCAAGGCAAGGCCACCTATTTGCCGCTTTTATGGACCTGGAGGCCGCCTTTGATTCCATTCCTAGGCAGAGATTATGGTCCAAACTTGCCCATCTGGGAATTGATCCGCACCTCCTCTCCCTAATTATTTCCCTTTATTCAAACACCACAGCTCGCGTCCGAAGTGGTCCCAACGGCTCCCTTACCACTCCATTCCCAACGGCCAAGGGCGTCCGACAAGGTTGTCTCTTGGCCCCTTTACTGTTTAATCTCTATCTTCATGATGCAATTTCCCCTTTGAAGCTAGCAACTAAGTATCCTCCTCACTTAGCGGGCCACCCCGTTGCTTCCCTTTTCTATGCAGATGACGCCGTCATCTTATCCAGAACAGCTGCGGACCTAGCAAATACAGTTAATGCATTTATCGCCTATTGTAAGGCGGAAGCTCTTAATATTAATTATAAAAAATCGAAAGTCCTCCATTTCACTCATTCCCGCAAACTCAAGCTGGAGCCGCTTAAGATCACAGGTGGCTACTTAGAAAAGGTAAAAGCCTTTAAATATCTAGGCTTAATATTCACTTATAATCTCTCCTGGACCACCTATCTACAATCTGCCTTTCTCGCTGCAACCACGACCTCTAATGCCATTGTCCGATTTTACCACCAGAAGGGCGGCAAACACCTTCCAGCAGCAATTCAAATATTTAATGCCAAAGTTGTCCCTAAATTATTATATGGCTGCGAAGTATGGACTACAGCAATATCAGGTAACTTGGATCGCCCACTTTATATGTTTCTGAGGCCTTTTGGCTTCTCGGCCTTTTGGCAAAGATCAAGTGTAGAAGAACATATTTAATAAATACTAATAACTCCCAAAAAGTACTTATAAACATATGTCAAGTCCCGTTCCCCACCCCCTGAACACCCGTCTCCAAAGGAGCAGCGTAGGGACATTCCAGGGAACAAAACTGCCCACTTCAGCCCCATGCAAAACCTTCCAAGCCACCTTTCCACACTCCCCCACCCGGAACAATTGCCTCTGTACCTTGTCGGAGAAGACGAACCCCAGGACGCCCGAGGCCAGCTGCAGCAGGAAGATGACCGTCAGGCAGATAGAGAACTGCAGGGGAGAGAATCTCGTAAGTGAAGGGTCACAGAGCCAATGGCAGGTTAATGCTCAAGGGGGTGGGGCCAGATCCAAGGGCCTTCTGGCGGTTCCCTCCCTGCAAGAAGCCAAGTTACAGGGAACCAGGCAGAGGGCCTTCTTGGTGGTGGCACCCGCCCTGTGGAACGCCCTCCCACCAGATGTCAAAGAGAAGAACAACTACTAGACTTTTAGAAGACATCTGAAGGCAGCCCTGTTTCGGGAAGCTTTTAATGTTTAATAGACTACTGTATTTTAATACTTTGTTGGAAGTCGCCCAGAGATGTCTGAAGGCAGCCCTGTTAGGGAAGTTTTTAATATTTGATGTTTTGTCATGTTTTTAATATTTAATATTTGATGTTTATCATGTTTTTCTAACATCATCCATTCAAAGTGTTGGTGTTGACCTTTAAAGCCCTAAACGGCTTCAGTCCAGTATCCCTGAAGGAGCGTCTCCACCCCCATCGTTCAGCCCGGACACTGAGGATGGGACCAGATCCAAGGGCCTTCTGGCGGTTCCCTCCCTGCGAGAAGCCAAGTTACAGGGAACCAGGCAGAGGGTCTTCTTGGTGGTGGCGCCCGCCCTGTGGAATGCCCTCCCACCAGATGTCAAAGAGATAAACAGCTACCTGATGTTCAGAAGACATCTGAAGGCAGCCCTGTTCAGGGAAGCTTTTAATGTGTGACATTTTAATGTATTTTTAATCTTTGTTGGAAGCTGCCCAGAGTGGCTGGGGAAACCCAGCCAGATGGGCGGGGTACAAATAATAAATTATTATTATATAATCCAAGTGCACACTTCCAGTGGCAAGGGTTCCCTTCGCTTAAGGATGCCCAGGAAGTGTCTGATGCCAGCGCTACCCTGCCTCCTCCCGGGGACGATGGTCAGAGGTTCTCACCGTCTGCAGCAAGCAGATGTTCTCCCGCAGGGATCCGATGCAGCCGCAGAAGGTGATGAAAAACATCAGGATGCCGACGACGATTAGCAGGATGGCCGGGTCCACGGCGAGGCAAGCCATGGCCGCTTCTGCAGCGGGAAAGGAAGAGCAGGGAGTCAAACGCAGGGGTTTCCGTCCCGTCCCAACAGCTTCTCCCTGCTAGCTGTGGCTGAGCGCACCTATCTGTTGCAGCGGGTTGGCCTAGATGACCCTAAGGTGTCCCTTCCAACTCTTATGATTCTGTCCTCAACAACAGTGTTTTATGCTTCTTTTCATTTAAAGGTGGGGATGGCCAAAAGGCAGCTGTCTGCTTTTTGAGCAAAACAACAAGAAACCTCTGGTTACGTGAACCATATTCAGTAAACACACAAGACGTAATTGGCTGTACATTTGGAAAAATAAGATATACTATTCATGGTGTTGTAGATTTTTTACATACAGTGGTGCCTCACAAGACGAAATTAATTCGTTCCGCGAGTTTTGTCGTCTTGCGATTTTTTTCGTCTTGCGGAGCACGGTGTCGGGAAAGTTTTGGAAAAGCTTCAAAAATCACCAAAGTCTTCAAAAACCTCAAAAAAGGCTACCACACCGCATGCTATGAGTTGCTCCTCGAAGTCAAGTCACAACTGTATTAACGGTGTTAAGAAAAAGGAAACAAACTTGCAAGACGTTTCCGTCTTGCGAAGCAAGCCCATAGGGAAAACCGTCTTGCGAAGCAACTCAAAAAACCAAAAACCCTTTCTTGCGAGTTTTCCGTCTTGCGAGGCATTCGTCTTGCGAGGTACCACTGTATATATAACTTTTTTATTAAGTAATTCAACAAAACATATTACAGTGGTACCTTGGGTTACATACGCTTCAGGTTACAGATTCCGCTAACCCAGAAATAGTGCTTCAGGTTAAGAACTTTGCTTCAGGATGAGAACAGAAATTGTGCTCCAGAGGTGCGGCGTCAGCAGGAGGCCCCCTTAGCTAAAGTGGTGCTTCAGGTTAAGAACAGTTTTGGGTTAAGTACAGACCTCCAGAACGAATTAAGTACTTAACCCGAGGTACCACTGTATCTTAAAACATATCATCCTTAATTTTTCCCTCATTCCCCCCCCCGCTCCCATAAACAACCCGCCCCCCCGCGACTTCCCTCAGTTCCATTCTCTTGTTTCTCTATAAATGCTATTCTCTGCATGTTACAGAATGGTATAAGTCCTTAATTTATATAACTAATTATCAATTTAAAAAATTGTGAGTGTTTATTCAAAGCCTGCCAAGGAGTCTGTTATGTACTGAGTTGAATAGGATCCAAACTGCAGCAGTCTGATTGGTCCTAGAACAATAGGATCCAAAAGGCAGCAGTCTGATTGGTCCTAGAACAATAGGATTCAGAATGCAGCAGTCTGATTGGTCCTAGAACAATGCAGCAGTATGATTGGTTGGCAGGAACTACGCAATCATGCTCCAGATAGAAGTGAATCCACAACCTGATTGGCTTACAGTAGAATTCTGGAATTAGCCAATCATGTGCAGCCCATTGTGTAAATAATGTATATAAAGCAGATACTTTGAGGGGACATGCATTCATTCCTCCTCACCACTATGAGCTGAATAAAGAGCATGAAATCACTTTGCGACTCTGAGTATATTTCACTGGCGACGAGGATGGGATCCCGCTGAGCTGACTGCCACACACAGCACCGCAGCACCGCCACCTGCCCACCGCTGCCTCGCACCGTGTATCCAGGCTTCAGCTCCGGGACACAAGGAACTCAGAATGGCAACCGACAGCAGCTTCTCGCCATTCAACCCAGCATCTGGAGACTGGGAAGCGTACGCCTCCCGTTTCACCTTCCTCCTAGAAGCCAAAGGGGTCACCGACGAAGAAGACGCCAAGAAGAGGGCGATATTCTTCAGCGTCTGCGGAGAGGAGACGTTTGAAATCGCCCGGGCTCTCCTTGCGCCTGAAGACGTCGCTACTGTTCCATACAAAACAATAATGGAACAGCTGAAGGGGCACTTTTCGCCACAGCCCTCAGTAGTGGCTCGTCGAAATGCCTTCTACACAAAGCGGCAAGCCCCTGGGGAAACCATAACTGGGTTTGTGACCTCTCTCCACCAAGCCGCCCGGTTCTGCAACTTCTCAGAGCTGGAGAACATGCTTCGTGACCGCCTCGTCGGTGGCCTGAAGGATGAGAAGCTGCAACAACGCCTCTACGCTAAGAAGGACCTAACGTTCCAGGTCGCTCTGGAGGAGGCCCTGGCAATGGAAGCTGCCGAGAGGTCGACGCAAGAGGCACGGCCGAGCCAGCTGTCCCAACCGAGGGTCCACCACGAAGACCTCACCGACGACTCAGGATCCGACAGGGAGGAGGTGCACCGAGTACAGCAGTGCACTCAAGCAGCCCACACACCACAGCTGCCTCGACGAGAAGGAGGGAACTGCGCAAGCTGTGGAGAAAGTCACGAGAGGAGGACCTGCCGTTTCCGCAACGCAGAGTGCAGGCAGTGCAGAAAATTGGGACACATCGCCCGGGTGTGTCGGGCTCGGCCCACCCGACGCCAGGCATCAGATGACCAATCCAAGAGCCCCAGGTCCCGGGGCCCAACGCACCAAGGCAACTCGACAGAGCTCACGGACTTCCAGGTATACCAGTTGCCCCACCCCAACGTAGAGAAAATTTATGTAGAGGTACAGATAGAGGGGACCCCATGCCGCATGGAGCTTGACACGGGTTCAACTCTATCCATAATCTTGGCAAGGACCTTAAAAAAACTGTGTCCTACTGGGGGTCCCAAACTCAGGCCGGCCCCATTCACCCTCCGGGACTTCCAGAAATGGGGTGGGGACCTTCAGGGTGCAATACCGAGGGCGGACGCGGCAACTGGACTTGCTGGTGGTCAAGGGCCCCTACATTAGCTTAATGGGATTGTCATGGTTTGGACCACTGGGACTAGCCGTCACCGGGGTGAACCACACTAGCTTACAAGTGGACGTGGACGCCATATGCAAGGAATTTCCGGGGGTTTTCGATGGGAAATTGGGACAGTATACGGGCCCCCCCATTGCTCTACAGCTTGACCCCGCAGTACGACCGGTCAGGCTCAAGGCCCGCCGGGTCCCGTTCGCCCTGAAACCCCGTATTGACGAGGAATTGGACCGGCTCGTGGAGCAAGGAGTGCTAGAGCCGGTGCCTAATGCCCCCTGGGAAACCCCAATCGTCACACCCGTCAAGCCTAATGGTTCGGTCCGCATCTGCGCAGACTACAAATGTACCATAAACAAGACCCTCACGGCCCATGCATACCCAGTGCCAGTGGTCAGCCATGTCCTTGCCACCCTGGCTGGGTCGAAAATTTTTGGCAAGCTGGACTTGGCCCAAGCATATCAACAGCTGCCAGTAGATGAGGCCACAGCAGAGGCACAGACGATTGTGACGCACAGAGGAGCATTCAGGGTAAAGCGGCTGCAATTCGGTGTCAGCGTGGCACCAGGCATATTCCAGAATCTAATGGACTCTCTACTTAAAGGGATCCCTGGCGTCACCCCCTTCTTCGATGATGTGTTGATTGCCGGGCCCACACCAGAGGAGTTTGAGGACTGCCTCCGCACCGTTCTGCACCGTTTCCAGACGGCGGGTCTCAAGGTGAAGCGGGAAAAATGTCTACTAGGAGTGCCTCAGGTGGACTTTCTGGGATTTATGGTGGACGCAGAAGGGGTCCACCCGACTGGGGACAAGGTACGGGCCATTTGTGATGCCCCAGCGCCCAAGAACAAGACTGAACTTCAGGCCTTCTTGGGACTATTGAACTTTTACCATTCCTTCCTTCCCCACAAGGCGGCGGTAGCGGAGCCCCTACACAGACTCCTGGACAAGCGGGCCCCTTGGGTGTGGGTCCAGCGCCAGGAGGCCGCATTCCAGGCAGTCAAGGACTTGCTTGTCTCAAACTCGGTCTTGGCACACTTTGACGAGAGGCTGCCGGTGGTGCTAGCATGCGACGCCTCGCCCTATGGAATTGGCGCTGTCCTGGGACACCAACTCCCGGATGGAAGAGAGGTACCAGTGGCATACTTTTCCCAGACACTCAACGCAACCGAGCGGAACTACTCGCAAATCGACAAGGAGGGTCTGGCAATCGTGAAGGGAGTAAAAAAATTCCATGATTTCTTGTACGGGCGGCCCTTCACCGTGGTGAATGACCACAAGCCGTTGCTTGGCTTGTTTGCCCCTGAAAAGCAGACCCCCCAAGTGCTGTCTCCTCGCGTCCTCAGGTGGTCAATTTTCCTTGCCAGCTACCAGTATGCACTGATTCACCGCCCGGGGAAGGCGATGGGCCATGCGGACGCCCTCAGCAGGTTACCACTACCGGAAACAGGCCCCGACCCAGCACCTGCACAAGAGGTTATGAGCCTGGAGCTGCTTCCCGACCGCCCCATTCAGGCACAAGAAGTTGCACACCATTCCAAGATAGATAGGGTCATCTCCCGGGTCCTGGACTGGGTGTGGAGGGGATGGCCCAGCAGCAGCCCCGGGCCAGAATTCGCTGGCTACACAACCCGCAAACATGAACTGTCGGCCCACAAGGGGTGCCTGTTATGGGGAAGCAGGGTCGTTGTTCCCCAGCCCCTCCGCAAAAGGGTCCTCAAAGCCCTACACGAGACACACCCAGGGGTAGTAAGAATGAAGGCCCCTGCCAGGAGTTATGTGTGGTGGCCAGGGATCGACGGAGAGATAGAGGCCTGGGTCAAACACTGCCAGGCCTGCCAAGAATCCCGCCCAGATCCCCCAAGGGCCCCAGTCCAGTCCTGGGAGTCCGCCCGAGCACCATGGTCACGCCTGCATGTGGACTTCGCTGGCCCCTTTCAGGGGAAAACATTCTTCATAGTCGTGGACTCCTACACCAAATGGCTGGAAGTCGCACTGGTACCGTCCACTTCTACGTCCGCAGCCATCTGGGTACTACGCAGGCTGTTTGCAACCCACGGGCTCCCTGACACTCTCGTCTCAGACAACGGGACTGCATTTACGTCAGGAGAATTCCAAACCTTCACAGCGCAGAATGCCATCCGCCACATCCGTTCGGCGCCATTCCACCCTGCCACCAATGGCCAAGCAGAACGCATGGTGCAGACCACCAAGGACACCCTTCGCCGCATGACGCAAGGGGATTGGGAGTACCGCCTTGCCACATTCCTTCTAGCACAGCATAGCACCCCCAGCTCAACGACTGGCCGGAGCCCCGCTGAACTACTAATGGGTCGGCGCCTTGCAATCAGATTGGACCGCCTTCACCCCGATAGAGCTCAGGATGAGGTAGTGGTGGGGGAAGGCAAGAACCCCCGGACCTTCGAGGCTCAGGACCCAGTGTACGCAAAGAATTTTGGGGCAGGCCCAGCATGGGTACCCGCCACAGTCACCAGGGTCACTGGCCCCGTGTCGTACGAGGTGCTAACAGATGGGGGGCAATGCTGGCGCCGCCACTGCAACCAGATACGGCGACGATTCCCGGGAGAAAACCAGGAGGAGGAAAGGGCAGAGGAGTCCCAAGGGAACAGAGGGGCAGTGAGGCCCATAGAGCACGAGGGACCAGCAGGAGAGGCAGAATCAGTCAATACAGAGAGGACCTGCGAGGCTGAAAGGACACCGGAACCAGAACCACGACTGAGCGAGCCGGTTGCGCCAGACCAAACAGCCCCATCACAGCCAGCATCCTTGGAACACGAGCCAGAACCTGAACCCCGGACCAGGGAACACCCCAGGCCGCAACACACACGTAGGCCGCCGGCATACCTCAAGGACTATGAATGCGACCTCCCGGGCAGGACTGGAACTTAGAGGGGAGGGGTGTTATGTACTGAGTTGAATAGGATCCAAACTGCAGCAGTCTGATTGGTCCTAGAACAATAGGATCCAAAAGGCAGCAGTCTGATTGGTCCTAGAACAATAGGATTCAGAATGCAGCAGTCTGATTGGTCCTAGAACAATGCAGCAGTATGATTGGTTGGCAGGAACTACCCAATCATGCTCCAGATAGAAGTGAATCCACAACCTGATTGGCTTACAGTAGAATTCCGGAATTAGCCAATCATGTGCAGCCCATTGTGCAAATAATGTATATAAAGCAGATACTTTGAGGGGACATGCATTCCGTCCTCACCACTATGAGCTGAATAAAGAGCATGAAATCCACTCTCAACTCTGAGTATATTTCAGAGTCCAATTCACTTTGTTGCATCTTTAGGTACTTTGTAAAAGGTCCCCATTCCTCTTTAAAGTCATTGTTATCCTTGTCCCGCAGTTTATGTGTCAGTTTTGCCAGTTCTGCATAGTCCATCAGTTTCTCTTGCCTTGAATTGTAGATTTCAACAGAACGTGTTACTTCCGGGTTTCGCCGCTTGCGCATTTGCAGACACTCAAAATGACGTAATGTGCATGTGCGGAAGCGGCGACCTGCACATGCGCAGTCGCGTCTTGCATTCCTTTCAGGATGCGAACGGGGCTCTGGAACGGATCCTGTTCACATCCAGAGGTACCACTGCAGTAGTAGTAGTAGCCAATTTGATTCCCTCCCCCTTTCTTCTTTCTTTTTCCTTTCTCCTCCTGTGATGAGGATGCATTTAAATGTTTCAATATTGTAATGTTGTATTTTAATCTTGTTTTTAAGTTGTATTCATTCAACTTGTTTTTATTATTGCTTGTTAGCCACCCTGAGCCCGGCCTTGGCTGGGGAGGGCGGGGTATAAATGAAAATTATTATTATTATCATTATTATTATTATTATTATTATTATTATTATTATTACTACTATGCTATAAGATCCACTGTCCTGTGGTATCATATATGAGTTTGTACTACTGGTGAAGCCCAGGACGGCAAAACAAAGCTAATATTCCGGAAATCCTTGTCTTAGACTCTGTGAAAGGATTCTGTGTAACTGCAACAACCTTTTGTGTGGATTGTTGGACACTATGAACAGACAGGTGGAATAGACGCTTTCACATATATGGACCTTATGGATAAACTGATTAGAGCATGAACTGATCCACTGGGTCTTCTACTTTTTCCGTTGAACTTTATGAGCTACTTCTGTTGAAATCTACCATTCAATACAACGAACTATAGTATATCTGATTTTTTCAAACGTACAGCCGGTTACGTCTTGTGTGTTTACTGAGTCTGCTTTTTTGAGGCAAGAACGCCGACCGCTTGAGAAAATTGCAGGAGGAATTTCAGGGGCTACAATTTAATTCCCTTTAATCCCAAGGTGGTCATTTTCCAGCTTTCCTCCCATGAGTGAGTTAGCTTCACCCCACTGCTGAGCTGAAAAAGCAAGTTTACTCCCTCACAGAGCTCGCATCAACAGCACCTTTAGCAAACTAAAGTTCCCGGGATTCTTGGGGGTATTAAATTTATGGGGTGTTCGCAGCCTTGAAAAACAGAAAATGCCCTAAAACAGCGGTTCCCGGTTCTTATTGGGCTAGTGTCTGCTTCGTTCCATAAACTCATCCCCAATACCTGCTACCCTAATCAAAAACATTATTCAGAATAGCAGTTTGCATGGCCCACTGAGGAAAACATAACTATGATTCAAAATCTAATTAAAAGTATGTAGTTTAATTAACTCGACAAAATGGATGAACTTCTTCCAGCGAGGCCAGATATCGCAAGGAGAGCATTTCCACGCATTCTTATCGACGAAAAGTACTACAGTCGTACCTTGGAAGTCGAACGGAATCCGCTCCAAAGGTCCATTCGACTTCCAAAATGTTGGGAAACCAAAGCGTGGCTTTCGATTGGCTTCAGGAAGCTCCTGCAGCCAATCAGAAGCCGTGGAAGCCACATCAGACGTTTGGCTTCCAAAAAAAAGTTCAAAAACTGGAACACTCAATTCTGGGTTTTGATTGTTTGGGAGCCAATGCGTTTGAGATCCAAGGTACGACTGTACTTACTAAACACCCACAAACCTTCATCGATCACAGGAATAGGGTAACTAGTTTATGAGAAAATCAATAGCTATTACAGTGGTGCCCCGCAAGACGAATGCCTCGCAAGATGAAAAACCCGCTAGACGAAAGGGTTTTCTGTTTTTGAGTTGCTTCGCAAGACGAATTTCCCTATGGGCTTGCTTCGCAAGACGAAAATGTCTTGCGAGTCTTGCGATTTTTTTCACTCCCCCCCCCTTTTCTAAGCCGCTAATAGCCTTTTAGCCGCTAAGCCTTTAATAGCCGCTAAGCCGCTAAACCGCTAATAGCGCTAATCCGCTAAGCCGCTAATAGGGTTGCTTCGCAAGACGAAAAAACCGCTAGACAAAGAGACTCGCGGAACGGATTATTTTCGTCTTGCGAGGCACCACTGTACCAATAACTGGCTATTTGGGGACAACTTGGAATCAGAAATACAAAGGAAATAGCTTTGAAAGCGAAAAGAGCAATAAAACTCCCCCCCCCAATACTTTTTATTGCTTTTTTGTAACAACAACAAATAAAATAAATACTCTTACTCATTCATTCATTCATTCAAAAATTTGTATGTCTTCTTATTTACCCTGCGCCTTATTGCGCCCGGACTTCCTTCCATCCTTCAACGGTTTTCATGTCTCAAATCTTTTCTTACAGTTTCTTATTTACACTCCCATCCACATCACAAGATTTACATTAATCCTGCTACAGTTTTTAAATTCTTACAATTACTCCGTATATATTCAACAAATTTACTCCAATCCTTTTCGAACTTTGCTTCTTTTTGGTTCCGAACCTTATAAGTCAATTTCGCCAATTCTATGTATTCAAACATTTTTGTCTGCCACTCCATTAAAGTTGGGATTTCCATTTCTGAGCCACTGAGATTCTAGCGGCGGTCGTTGCGTACTTGAATAGTTTGTAATCTTCCTTTTTTAATTCATCCCCTGTTATGCTTCTGGTTTCTTTGGGAAAGTGTATTTAAATAGTTTTTTTCATTTCGTTATATATCATGTCCCAATATTTTTTCATTTTTTCACACGTCCACCACATGTGAAAAAATTCACGTCTTTCGTTTTACATTTCCAACACATCTTATTACTTACTCTATACATTTTTGCTAGTTTAACCGGGGTGATATACCAACGGTACATCATTTTCATAAAATTTTCTTTTAGAGTGGAGCACGCCGTGAACCTCAAACCTTCTGTCCATAATTTTACCCAATCGTCATAATCAATATTATAACCGAAATCAACTGCCAATTTTATCATAACTGAAAAGAGCAATAAAAGTTGAAAAACGAAGCAATGAAGGTGTTTCAAGTAAGCAATCAACACACTCGAAGGGCTGACCTCCAGTGCCCATCTGTTTCTTATTGTCACCCACTTCAGGAAGCATGGCCCAACAGTTTCGTGTCTGCCGGCCCTTGCTTGGCACACCGCTTGTGCTCCTTACCTGCGTGCTTCATTAAGCGGGCATAGACTCCCACTGCCACCATCGCCATGGAGATCACCTGCCAAGACAAAGAAGCCGAGAACGTCAAGAGCGCCAGGCCAGAGTCTTCTTAAGCCTCGGCCTCATCCCAGTATATCTGCAGGAGCATCTCCACCCCCATCGTTCAGCCCAGACACTGAGGTCCAGCTCCGAGGGCCTTCTGGCAGTTCCCTCACTGTGAGAAGCCAAGTTACAGGGAACCAGGCAGAGGGCCTTCTCGGTGGGGGCGCCTGCCCTGTGGAACGCCCTCCCACCAGATGTCAAAGAAAAGAACAACTAGTAGACTTTTAGAAGACATCTGAAGGCAACCCTGTTTAGGGAAGCTTTTAATGTTTAATAGGTTGTTGTATTTTAATACTTTGTTGGAAGCTGCCCAGAGTGGCTGGGGAAACTCAGCCAGATGGGCAGGGTATAAATAAATTATTATTATTATTATTATTATTATTATTATTATTATTAAACAAAAGCACACATTCTACTATGTAAAAACACCAGGCAGGCCCCACAAATAACCCAGAGATGCATTTTAAATAAAATGACACATTCTGCTCATGTAAGAGAAGAGCGCAAAATATGGTCTGAAGCTCAACATCAAAAAAATGAAGATCATGGCCACTGGTCCCATCACCTCCTGGCAAATAGAAGGGGAAGAAATGGAGGCAGTGAGATTTTACTTTCTTGGGCTCCATGATCATTGCAGATGGTGACAGCAGCCACGAAATTAAAAGATGCCTGCTTCTTGGGAGAACGGCGATGACTAACCTAGACAGCATCTTAAAAAGCAGACTTCACCTTGCCAACAAAGGTCCATATAGTTAAAGCCATGGTTTTCCCCGTAGTGATGTATGGAAGTGAGAGCTGGACCATAAAGAAGGCTGATCGCCAAAGAATGGATGCTTTTGAATTCTGGTGCTGGAGGAGACTCTTGAGAGTCCCATGGACTGCAAGAAGATCAAACCTCTCCATTCTGAAGGAAATCAGCCCTGAGTGCTCACTGGAAGGACAGATCCTGAAGCTGAGGCTCCAAGACTTTGGCCACCTCATGAGAAGGGAAGACTCCCTGGAAAAGACCCTGAGGTTGGGAAAGATGGAGGGCACAAGGAGAAGGGGACGACAGAGGACGAGATGGTTGGACAGGGTTCTCGAAGCTACCAGCATGAGTTTGACCAAACTGCGGGAGGCAGTGGAAGAAAGGAGGGCCTGGCGTGCTCTGGTCCAGGGGGTCACGAAGAATCGGACATGACTAAACGACTCAACAACAACAACAACACTCATGTAAAAACACACTGATTCCCGGAAGGTCTGCAGGCCAGATTTAGAAGGCAATTGGGCTGCATCCGGCCCCTGGGCCTTAGTTTGCCTACCCTCCCTGCTCAGCAGGTACCGGTTGCTGAATAGCATCACTCTGGCACCCAAATTGCAGCCTGCCCTTGTCAGAAATCCTTTCCTCCTTTCTAGCAGTGGCAAATGGATCATTTGAAAGGCGTGGGATTTCAAAGGAAGGCATTGGCGCTTAAGTGGCTGGAATTAGCTGCTGCAATTGTATTGACACCTGGGGGGGAGAGCTCTCTTTGGAGGAGGAGGACAGGAAAGAAAAGAGGGGTGGAGAAAGAGAAAGAGAGAGATGGAAGGAAAAGCCCTTGGCACAAACTGCTTTCCTTTTCTTCTTACAGCCTCATTCAGCTGAGCCAAGGTTAAAGTCACGCAGAGCAGAACTTTGTGGACTTTTGCTACTTCAACTCGTGCACAAGCACTCATTCCACGTGCCTATTTTACGGTACCGTTTTCCATTTTTTAAAAACTGGGCTGTCTTCTAAATGTCAGGTAGTTGTTTATTTCAAGCTAAAATGCAGTTAAAAGGGTAAAAATTCAGCAATAATAATAATTATTATTATTTATACCCCAGCCAGAGCCGGGCTCAGGGCAGCTAACACCAGTAAAATTCCAGTAGAAACATAAGGGGGGGGGGACCAATTTAAAATACAGGTTGAAATGCAATTTAAATGCAGTCTCATTTTAAAAAGGAGCCCATAGATCAAGACCATAAGGGGAGGGAAACATAAGGGTCAGACTGAGTCCAAACCAAAGGCCAGGCGAACAGCTCTGTCTTGCAGGCCCTGCGTAAAGATGTCAAGTCCTGCAGGGGCCTAGTCTCTTGTGACAGAGCATTCCACCACGTCGGGGCCAGCACTGAAAAGGCCCTAGCCCTAGTTGAGACCAATCTAACCACCTTGCAACTTGGGACCTCCAAAATGTTGTCATTTGTGGACCTGACCTTAAGGTCCTCCGCGGGGCATACCAGGAGAGGCGGTCCCATAGGTACGTGGGTCCTAGGCCGCATAGGCTTTAAAGGTCAAAACCAGCACCTTAAACCTGATCCTGTACTCCACCGGGAGCCAGTGCAGCTGGTATAGCACCGGGTGAATGTGATCCCGCGGCAAGGACCCCGTAAGGAGCCTCACCGCGGCATTCTGCACCCGCTGGAGTTTCTGGGTCAGTCTCAAGGGCAGCCCCACGTAGAGCGATTTACAATAATCAAACCTGGAGGTGACCGTCGTGTGGATCACTGTGGCCAGGTCAGGGCGAGAGAGGTAAGGGACTAACTGCTTAATACGGCGGCAATGGAAATATGCCACCTGTTCAAATCCGAGGTCACCCGCAATTCCGCTTGCTCCCACCCTTTTCCCCTGGAAAAGACTGTTTTTTACCTCTGAATCGGAGCAAACGCTAATTGGGTTTTCTGTGGATGGGCCTTTGCAAACAGAAAACTGCTTTCAGTACCTAGAAGACTCAAGGCAAGTGGGAAAACCCTCTGGCCTGTGCTTCCTGGCAATCTGTGGACGGTTCCTCAGTTTTGCGGTCATGCATTCTTCCCTTGCATTCAACAGCTGTTTCCTCATTTTTTTAAACGACAACAGCAAGAACATGCCCCACTTTCACCCTCCTCCTACAGGTCTTGCCAAACGTATCCCGTCACCAGGCTGAAATCCTACGAGCACAGGCGATATATGATCATGGAACTCAGTTGGCGCAGGAAGTATCCGCTTCCCCGCTTCCATTACTTGCACAATTGAGGTCTCCCTCCCCAAATCTGCTCCGGAAGGTTGGAAGAAGCCCTAGCACAGATTTTAAGGGGTACACGGGGGGGGGGGGGGACAAGATTTCTCTGCGCGAGTGGAAATCCCTGTGTTGACAGCACATTCTCGTAGGGCTATTTTTTGGACATGACCCTGCAACAGTCGTTTCCGGTGTTAGTTTTGCCACGTTAAAAAAATACAGATGCAATTTTCACATTTAAAAAAAAGGAATCTTTTCATTCTAAGTGTACGTGCCTCCTGCGCCAGGTTTCTGTCTTTGGATCTGGTGAGAAACATACAGATAGACCATAGAACAGGGGTCAGCAAACTTTTTCAGCAGGGGGCCGGTCCACTGCCCCTCAAACCTTGTGGGGGGCCGGACTATATTTTGGAAAAATAATAATGAACAAATTCCTATGCCCCACAAATAACCCAGAGATGCATTTTAGTAAATAAAAACACACATTCTACTCATGTAAAAACACCAGGCAGGTCCCACAAATAACCCAGAGATGCATTTTAAATAAAAGGACACATTCTACTCATGGTGATTCCCTCACTGCGAGAAGTAAGGTTACAGGGAACCAGGCAGAGGGCCTTCTCAGTGGTGGCACCCGCCCTGTGGAACGCCCTCCCACCAGATGTCAAAGAGAACAACAACTACCCGACTTTTAGAAGACATCTGAAGGCAGCCCTGTTTAGGGAAGCTTTTAATGTTTGATGCATTACTGTATTTTAATATTTTGTTGGAAGCCGCCCAGGGCGGGTGCCACCACCGAGAAGGCCCTCTGCCTGGTTCCCAGTAACTTGGCTTCTCGCAGTGAGGGAACCGCCAGAAGGCCCTCGGTGCTGGACCTCAGTGTCCAGGCAGAACGATGCGGGTGGAGACACTCCTTCAGATATACTGGACCGTTTAGGGCTTTCAAGGTCAGCACCAACACTTTGAATTGTGCTTGGAAATGTACCAGGAGCCAATGTAGGTCTTTCAAGACCGGTGTTATGTGGTCTCGGCGGCCGCTCCCAGTCCCCAGTCTGGTTGCCACATTCTGGATTAGTTGTGGTTTCCGGGTCACCTTCAAAAGTAGCCCCACATAGAGCGCATTGCAGTAGTCCAACTGAGAGATAACTAGAGCATGCACCACTCTGGCGAGACAGTATGTGGGCAGGTAGGGTCTCATCCTGCGTACCAGATGGAGCTGGTAGGCAGCTGCCCTGGACACAGAATTGACCTTCGCCTCCATGGATAGATGTGAGTCCAAAGTGACTCCCAGGCTGCGCACCTGGTCCTTCAGGGGCACAGTTACCCCATTCAGGACCAGGGAGTCCTCCACACCTGCCTGCCTCCTGTCCCCCCAAAACAGTACTTCTACTCACACAGGAACAGAAACACACAATTAGTGTTTTCCCCAAACTGGGTCTCCAGCTGCTTTTTCTGGACTACAATTCCCATCATTCCTGACCACTGGTGTTGCTAGCTAGGAATGATGGTAGTTGTAGTCCCAAAAAAAAAAAAAACCACCAACAGATGGAGACCCAAGTTAGGGAAACAAAGATGTGCGTAAAACAGATACGACAATTGTAACAAGCAAAAATTTAAACATGGAAAACAAAACTTTAAAACAGGCGCATGGAAGGAGTAGTTGTACATGGGCGAAAATAACAATGTGGTTCATGCCAGATGTTTGTGGACTACAGCTCCCATCAGCCAGTATTGCCAATGGGCAGGGATGATGGGAGTTGTAGTTCCGCACCATCTAGAGGACGCCATTTTGGCTGCTGAGCTAATACCATGTGGCAGACAGGAGCTCTCCATGTGGTCCCAGTTCCCATCACCAGCTGCCCCCATTGCCTATGAACTGGGAGGTGCTGGGGACCTTCTGGCCGGAAAGCCAGCGAGCTACGGATGAGCGGACTATTAATTTATTCCAATAAATTTATTTATTCCAATAAATAAAAGCCGAGGAGAGTTTCAGGAAAGGGGGAATCGGCTGGCACTGACCGGAGGGCTGCCACAGCCTGAACGAAATTACCGCACTCACCTAAAAGCTGATTGCAGCCTCCAGGAGTGATTACAAGCGCTTCGCTAATTGCCTATCCCCCTGCAGAGGCAGATGAACCGGTTAACTAAGGATTTAAATTAAAACCAATCCAGGATAAAGAGGCCTTCTAATGGAAACAGTTAATTGGACAAAGTGGCCTAGAAGGTCAGGGTGAGACGCAGAAGGCAGGTGGCGAGGAAAAGCTTGCGCTCAAATAGGAATTAATGGAGACCGTACAACCAGAGTTTTCTAGAGAAAAAAACACTCTGCAATGCATTACACTGAAAAGCGCAACTTGAGAGAAGCGCTTCCAAATTTTTGATATCTGGAGCAAAGCGCAAAGCCCACACCTAAACTTTTTAAAAGTCCATTTATTCCAATGGGTCTACTGTGAGTTTGACTAAAGGTCGAAAGTAACCTTTTCACATCATGTGAGTTTTGGATTTATATCCTGCTTTGTTGTCATAGGGACCCGGGTGGCGCTGTGGGTTAAACCACAGAGCCTAGGACTTGCTGATCAGAAGGTTGGCGGTTCGAATCCCGGCGACAGGGTGAGCTCCCGTTGTTCGGTCCCAGCTCCTGCCAACCTAGCAGTTCGAAAGCACGTCAAAGTGCAAGTAGATAAATAGGTACCACTTTGGTGGGAAGGTAAACAGCGTTTCCGTACGCTGCTCTGGTTCGCCAGAAGCGGCTTAGTCCTGCTGGCCACATGACTCGGAAGCTGTACACCGGCTCCCTCGGCCAATAAAGTGAGATGAGCACCCCAACCCCAGAGTCGGCCACGACTGGACCTAATGGTCAGGGGTCCCTTTACCTTGACCTTGTGGCCATTTAGATTTATATCACAATTTGATGGCAAAGCTTCAAGGAGTCTAATAAGGGCGAAATGCAACAAATTACACTAGATATTATTATTATTTTATAAAAAAATAAAATAAAAAGAGCCAAGAAGACTCGGGGAGTGGGGGCTGGAATACCCCATAAAAGCCATTAAATTCTATTACAAGTTCAGAATGACAGTATATATCTCAATTAAGGAGCATGTATCTCAATTAAGCAATGACAAACCTAGACAGCATCTTAAAAGGCAGAGACACCGCCTTGCCAACAAAGGTCCGTATAGTTCAAGCTATGGTTTTCCCAGTAGTGATGTATGGAAGTGAGAGCTGGACCATAAAGAAGGCTGATTGCCAAAGAATGGATGCTTTTGAATTCTGGTGCTGGAGGAGACTCTTGAGAGTCCCATGGACTGCAAGAAGATCCAACCTCTCCATTCTGAAGGAAATCAGCCCTGAGTGCTCACTGGAAGGACAGATCCTGAAGCTGAGGCTCCAAGGCTTTGGCCACCTCATGAGAAGAGAAGACTCCCTGGAAAAGACCCTGATGTTGGGAAAGATGGAGGGCACAAGGAGAAGAGGACGATAGAGGACGAGATGGTTGGACAGTGTTCTCGAAGCGACCAGCATGAGTCTGACCAAACTGCGGGACGCAGTGGAAGACAGGAGTGCCTGGCATGCTCTGGTCCAGGGGGTCACGAAGAGTCGGACATGGCTAAACAACAACAAATCTCAATTAAGACACCTGGTGAACACCAATTTGAGAAGACATTCCCCATCAAGCTTGGAAATCACTGCAATAACATCAGATTGTCCTTTTTCACCTCTATTACCGACTCCAGGCATTCCCACGAGACTCTTAATGGAGGCGAAGCAACAGAGCAATTATAGTGCTCTCTCTCTCTTTCAAAGGCAAAAGCTGAACCCGCGCATTCCATTCGACGCACCACCCCTGGACCAGCCCATACACGTGTATGCACATCCTCACGTGCCTCAGGGGCCCCCAAGGAGACCGCAGAGACCCCCCTCCCATTTTGCACGCAGATGGTTCCAGGCTCGACTTAGCCCCGCTCCCAATGCCACCTCCTCCCGAGTAGAGCCGGGAACTGCCCCCCCAAGCCCTCCCTGCAAAACCGCTGCTGCCAGCCAGTGCAGGCAACGCTGGGCCAGCGGGTCCGATCCGTGCGAGTTTAACCCTCCCGTTGCCGCGCTCACCCAGAAAACCATGTTGAAGAAGAAGAGCAGGTATTTGACCAGGGGGCTGACGAAGGAGAAGTCTTCCCCTTGGGGGCAGACGAGCCCCCCACCAGCCTCTGGGCCATGGCTGCGGCCCTATCGCCGAGGGTGTCGCTGGTCGCGCAGGGCCATCCTGGCCGGACCCGCACCGATCCTGGCTCGGCGGCTGATCATTAACCCGAAATTCCACCAGCTCCAGTTTTTGCAGCCCAGCAAGGTTCGCCCCGCCCCCCTCCTCGCCCATTGGCTGCGCCCGCCGCCCCCTCCCTTCCTATTGGCCTCTCTCCTGCTCACTCGCCTCTTTCTGCGTTCTTAGAACGTTGTGTATCGTTTTTTCCCCGAAGCGCCACCTGTTTAAAGTCCAGCGGAGGAGCGAGGGAGGCTCTTAAAGGGGCCGCGCCCCGGGTCGCGCGTCAAGGGTACGCGGGTTCAGACGCGCATGCGTACACGGGTGTCGGTTTTTAAATTTTTATTATTATTAAAGATTTTATTGTTTTACCAAAGTGTTTGCAATGTCTCTCTCGTATTTTCTTTTTCCATCTAATATTTTTATCAATCAGTTTCATTTGTTGAGACATTGGGAAGAAAAGGGGGAAAGAGGTGGAGGGGGGGAAAGATGGGTGGGGGTGGGCGACGGTGTTGGGTGTCGGTTTTTTTTATTATTTGCAAAAATGTCTGCGCTGCCGCCGTGAAAAGCGCGTGAGGAATATGCAACGGCGGTGAACGGCACGAAATTAGCAATGAGGTTCATTGGATTCGCAGGGAAACCAAAATGCTTGTTCACAAAGCTATTGTACTACCAACCTTACTGTACGCTTGTGAAACATGGACCCCTTACAGCGAGGGGGGGAAAGTATTTGATCCGCCTTGGGCAAAAGATTCACGGGTTGAACTAGATGTCCCTCGTGAACATCTAGACTCAAGGGCATCCTGATCACATTTGCAGACGACACCAAACTGGGAGGGGTGGCTAACACCCCAGAGGACAGGATCACACTTCAAAACGACCTTGACAGATTAGAGAACTGGGCCAAAACAAACAAGATGAACTTTAACAGGGAGAAATGTAAATTATTGCACTTGGGCAAAAAAAACATGAGAGGCACAAATACAAGATGGGGGACACCTGGCTTGAGAGCAGTACATGTGAAAAGGATCTAGGAGTCTTGGTTGACCACAAACTTGACATGAGCCAACAGTGTGACGCGGCAGCTAAAAAAGCCAATGCAGTTCTGGGCTGCATCAATAGGAGTATAGCATCTAGATCAAGGGAAGTAATAGTGCCACTGTATTCTGCTCTGGTCAGACCTCACCTGGAGTACTGTGTCCAGTTCTGGGCACCACAGTTCAAGAAGGAGACTGACAAACTGGAACGTGTCCAGAGGAGGGCAACCAAAATGGTCAAAGGCCTGGAAACGATGCCTTATGAGGAACGGCTAAGGGAGCTGGGCATGTTTAGCCTGGAGAAGAGGAGGTTAAGGGGTGATAGAATTACAGAATTACAAGCCTGGTAGATGAAGGGAACGCAGTGGATGTAGCCTACCTTGATTTCAGCAAGGCATTCGACAAGGTGCCCCATGATATTCTTGTAAAGAAGCTGGTAAAATGTGGACTTGATATGATAGCCATGTTCAAATATATAAAAGGATGTCATATAGAGGAGGGAGAAAGGTTGTTTTCTGCTGCTCCAGAGAAGCGGACACGGAGCAATGGATCCAAACTACAAGAAAGAAGATTCCACCTAAACATTAGGAAGAACTTCCTGACAGTAAGAGCTGTTTGACAGTGGAATTTGCTGCCAAGGAGTGTGGTGGAGTCTCCTTCTTTGGAGGTCTTTAAGCAGAGGCTTGACAACCATATGTCAGGAGTGCTCTGATGGTGTTTCCTGCTTGGCAGGGGGTTGGACTCGATGGCCCTTGTGGTCTATTCCAACTCTATGATTCTATGATTCTATGATTCGTGGTCCCTTCCAAGTGTACGATTCGACGATCCAGAGGAAAGCAGCGTGTGTGACTGGCTTGGCCCGGGTTCTACCCAGGGTGTTTGTTTTTTTAAATTAAATTATATACATTCTTTACAACAAGCAACTCCAAAATAAGCAGACAACTCCAAAATAAAATCATATATAACAAAACCATAAGTCTCATGTTTTCATTTACACTGATCTCCTCTCCAATATCTTTTGATATTTCTTGCTGCTTTCTGCTTTTCTTATAGAATCTTTATAATTTAAATCTCTTCAATCCTATACCAATCTTTAACAATTTCAGTTAATCCCTTCACCTCCCTCCCCCACAACCCAGTACCGTACCTTCCTCCACCCGTGTGTGATCTTCTTTGCCTCCTACTATTTTTGTTATTATGTGTTATTCACTTTATTTGTTATTTCATCTGTTATGTACTGAGTTGAATAGGATCCAAAATGCAGCAGTCTGATTGGTCATAGAGCAATAGGATACAGAATGCAGCAGTCTGATTGGTCCTAGAACAACAGGACCCAGAATGCAGCAGTCTGATTGGTCCACAGGAGCCACCCAATCCAGCTCCAGGTGGAAGTGAATCCACAACCTGATTGGCCTACAGGAGAATTAGCCAATCATGTGGGGCCCACTGTGTAAATAATGTATATAAAGCAGACATTCTGGGGGAACTCCCATTCCTCACTACTATGAGCTGAATAAAGAGCATGAAATCCACATTCGACTCCGAGTATATTTCACCATCCTTGATATATTATTATCCTATCTCCTTGCGCCTTTTAAACTTTTAAACTTTAAAAGGTTCTACCCAGGGTGTTTGGAGTCCTGACAGAGCGACCACACATTTCACTGGACGCCCACCCTCCCTTCTGTTCTGAAAGGAGGAAAGGGTTAAGGACCTCCCCTCAGTGAGGGGGTGCCATGGCTGGCTTAGTTGCCCCCCCCATTGCTGGGAAGGGGCTAATGGGGGGGGCACAGCCACTCCATTTTGTGGCCCTTTTTCCTGCTCTTGTGACGTGGCAGCCATTTTGCGTAGTGTCTTGGCAACCACAGCATCCATTTTGTGTCATTCTCCCATGGTTTGATTTCATCCCCGGAGGCGCACTCCATTGTCTTTCGAGACAATGTCTTTCCCATTGCTCTGTCCCAGCTCCTGCCAAGCTAGCAGTTCTAAAGCACACCAGCACAAGTAGATAAATAGGTACCGCTCCGGCGGGAAGGTAAATGGCGTTTCCGTGTGTTACAGGAATTCATGTATAGGTGTGTGGGGGGGTTGCCCCTCCAGCAGATATCACACACATGCATCCCACTACCAAAATCAGCACAATCACTTTTGTGACTTTTGTGATTTGTCCCCACAAAACACCCCATCACAGTTTCTTCCTATCTATTCAAAGGGCCTTTGCTGCACCATACCAAATGTAAGAATTCACTGATAATTTTATCTATGTACTGGCTCACTGGGAAAACTTCAGAAATTCATCTAGACATGTGAGCTCAGCTGCTCAGCAGCCCCTCTGCCTGAGGGATAATCCCTGGCATCCTGATACCTGAGTGCTAGACAGGTAGCCATTCCAGAAATAACAGACCCAGATGAAGACAAAAGGGTGCGATTAACTTGGCTGGGAAACAGGGAAGTGTAAATGTGTCTTTTGTTACACTTGATGGGTGTTTGGTGGAGGGCAAGGGGAACCATGGGGCAGGGTCCAGGATGCTCAGATTCCTGCCACCAGACCTCCCCTTTCATGATGTAACCATGATGTATGAGTGATGTAGTTTGGGGGGTGTAACATGGGGATTAGCAGCTAATAAAAGTTTGGGTTCTCTTTTGTTCGGGGCTTCCATCTTGTTCCACTTGGTGGCAGGTGGGAGTCCTGTTCGCGACAGTCTTCAATAAAGATCAAGCCTACTGGCTGCTGTTTTGCTCTGGTATTCCTGGCTGGTGTCCTTGTTTTTTGTCCAAGGGAGCCCTCAGATTTCTCCATTAACACCCCATTGCTGGGAACGTGCTAATGGGGGGGGGGCGCAGCCACTCCATTTTGTGGCCCTTTTTCCTGCTCTAGTGACGTGGCAGCCATTTTGCGTAGTGTCTTGGCAACCGCAGCATCCATTTTGTGTTATTCGCCCACAGTTTGATTTCATCAGAAGGTCGGCGGTTTGATTCCCCTGATCTCCCATTGCTCTGTCCCAGCTCCTGCCAAGCTAGCAGTTCAAAAGCACACCAGCATAAGTAGATAAATAGGTACCACTGTGGCGGGAAGGTAAACGGCGTTTCCGTGCGCTCTGCACACGTCATGGTGTCCCGTTGTGCCAGAAGCGGTTTAGTCCTGCTGGCCGCGTGAACCGGAAAGCTGTCTGTGGCCTGAAAAGCGAGATGAGCGGTTGTCTGTCGACTTTCTGAGGCGACTTTAGCTCGGAATCGGGACCGGTCCTCACAGGGCTGGAGGCAAGGCTGGCAAGGAGAGTGGAAAGGCTAAGGCAAAGGCAGTGTCTCGCTCACTAAGAGCTGGACTTCAGTTCCCAGTGGGTCGTATCCGTAGACACTTGAAGACTTGCACCACAAGCCATGGACAAGTTCGTGCTACTACTGCTGTGTACAGTGCTGCAATTACACACACACACACACGCACACACACACAAATCTATACCTTAATTTTTTATTTCAACACAGACTTATTGATGGCGACAGCACTAGCTGGCAGGGGCGGGGACAAAAAGGACAAGCCCCTTTCCAGATCTCCAGATCTTTATTTTCTGCAACAACATACAGGTACTTAACATAACGAAGGAGATCTTTAACAGACCTGGATTGTGTGAGAAAATCAACCCCTTTAATGGGGCCTAGGGCAATGTGGAATTGCTTTCTCGACAAAAGGGTGTGCACGCGTGCAAATAAATAGTAACAACGATAAGGATAAGGATATTTTATTTAGACCCCGCCCATCTGCCTGGGTTTCCCCAGCCACTCTGGGCGGCTGCCAGCAAAACAAAAAAACATACTAAAATGTCAAACATTAAAAACTTCCAGATACAGGGCTGCCTTCAGATGTCTTCCCAAAGTTGTGTAGTTCTTTATCTCCTTGTCATCTGATGGGAGGGGGTCCCACAGGGTGGGCAACCAAACTTTTCCTGGATTTCCCATTTCATCATGTCACGGTAAAATCTGGGTGCGGGGCTACTCTGCCACCCAGCTCGTCGGACTAAGTCCGCGGGTCCCTGCGGAAGAAAATGAGCTCAGCCGGAG